TATAATCCAGTACAGTATATACACAGCTCACAAGACTTAAGGAATTGTGAGCTGTCACACTGCCATACAAGATTCCTTTAGTAAACAGCAGGAAGTGGAGTGTGAGCCAGGGAAAGGGCTGTGTTCCTAATAAATGTTCCTTTGTGCAGGTTCAGTTTTTGGGCCCAGTGGAAGAAGAGGACGACAGACCTACACCAGATACCAGACTCTAGAGCTGGAAAAAGAGTTTCACTTCAACCGCTACCTGACCAGGAGGCGCAGGATCGAGATAGCCCACTCCTTGTGCCTGACTGAGCGACAGATCAAGATCTGGTTCCAGAACAGAAGAATGAAATGGAAAAAGGAGAGCAAATTACTCAACTCTTCCCTACCGAGTGCAGGAGAAGACGAGAAAACCGCAGAGTGATCATAGACAGCACTATTAAATTCACCACAATCCTTGTACCTTGAATAAATTATTGTTGCACACAGGACTAGTAAAGAACAAAAGATAGTGACAGATTATCTGTATTATTATTACTACCTATATGTCTGACTGTCGTCAGCCTGCAGTACTGGAATACTATATATATAGTAAGTGACCCACAATGCACGATTGCATATTTTCTTGTCTATTGTATTTCAATGTTTATTGAAAAGTACAAATACTACCTAGAACCTAATTGTGAAATGTTATATTTTTATTAAGTTGTTTTTGTTATTTTCCACTGTGTTTGTGTGTATTTTTTTTTAAATTCTATATATTTGTAGTTCGTATGGAGATGGGACTAGTGACAGGACATGACAGTTCTAAGAACCTCTCTCCTGGCTAATAATAGTGAGTGGATGTAAGTATCCCTTGCTTGAGAATATGCATCTGACATGTCCAAAATCGTAGTTCTAGTAGAAGCACAACTAGTTTTATGTCTGTTTTTTGTAGCACAGCGCCCATGGGAATTCAGACTGACCAAAACATCCGTTCTCGTCAAACACTGGCTTTGTCCCTGCACTTTCCCCCATACTAAAATGAGAGGTACAGCAATGGAAGTCAGAAAATGACTGTATCAGCTCAGCGTCTGAACAACCCCTAATCTAATTTTCTCCTGCTCTAAACATGCAGCTTGTCTGGGATATTTTATTAAATGTTGTTGACAATGAATACTTGTGGTTATTTTCTCTGTATATTTATCATCATGGATTAACATATCATATGTCTGTTGGGATTAAAATATCGCGTTTCTATAAAGAACAAATATGCAATGTGCTTCTGTGTGGTTTTTTTTTGGGGGGTCCCTTCTTTGCATTTTGCTTGCATTTTATGTTATTTTGGTTACCAGCAAGTATGTTAATAAATAACTAGATGATCGTACTCATCTAGCATCTCTTTTCAAAAGGGGCCACGTCATCAATCAGCTATCCTTTTTCACATAATGAAATAGAAATGAAAACTGAGTACATCTCTTTATATACTCAGTTAAATAAATGATCTATGCGCCGCAATTTTAAGAGACTATTACCTGTTCTCGGTCACAATCAGAATGTCTTTTTAAAAGGTGGAAGCGGTCAGACTTTATTCATAGTCGATGTGAAAGGACAATGATGTTCCAACGTATGAAGAACATGACCGATTTATGAATATATGATTATTTTGCTAAACATTTCTCTCAAAACTCCGGCATTGTTTCCAATATGTGTTTTATTGCCCAAATACTAGTCACCTATATTGGATTATGGATAAAAGACTGGGGCTATGCTCTCTTCCCACAGGCCTTGACCTCAGTTACCTTATAATTATAAAAGAACAATTATTTAGATATCACTAAACAAAAAGATAGACCGAAAGGGCGCGCAATGGGCTCTTTTTCAGGGTGTGTACCCAATTGCAATTTCCCGAATTTCCGGTAGGTGTCGCGGTCTGCCAACAGGCAGAGCCCCGGCGTCCCAGGGATTTTTTTTTTTTTTGGAAGCTCTACATCGACTTGGGCCTAACGATTCTCAGATCGTCATTATTTGTAACCATAGAGCATGAATTACCTCTTGAGGTCATCAGTGAGAATTTACGACTGGTCAACAAAAGCACGTGATTTCCAAACGCACCCACACCCCCATATTTGGCCGCATACATAGCAAAAACGAAGTACAGTGCATTGCTATAATTCATTAATACATCATAAATCGTAAGGCACGGGGGTGATCCACAAATCAAGGCTCCAAAAAAAAATCACCCAAATGAGTTCCTACTTTGTGAACTCGTTCTCAGGGCGCTATTCTAATGGCCCCGACTACCATGTGTTAAATTATGGCACTGGCGGCAGCAATGTGAACGGATCTTACAGGGAGACAGGCAGCATGCATTCCACCTCTTATGGTTACAACTACAATGGCATGGACCTGAGCGTCAGCCGGGGAGCCGCTTCCAGCAACCACTATGCGGACAGCTCAGGAGGCTTCCCAGCCCAAGACAGCAGGTTCACAGGCGCCTCCAGCTGCCCCCTCTCCTCCCCTGAGTCCCAGAGCCACGGGGGAAAGAGCGAGCAGGTCCCCTCCGACCCGGCCACGTCCAGGAGCAGCCACTTCACAGAGGTGGAGGAGACCAGTGCATCCTCAGAGCCAGAAGACAGCACCCCAAGAAGCAGCACGTCCAGGGCGCAGCCGGAGAGCAGCCCCCAAGGAGCACCCAGCACAGACGGACAGACCCCACAAATATTCCCCTGGATGAGGAAACTGCACATCAATCACGGTACCTCCGCTTTTTTTACTTTCAATGTCACAGAGGGACGAGATGAGGAAGCTCAGCCTTTATGTCCTTACATTCCCCCCTTCAGAGCCCCATAGAACACAGGGTGATGGTATATAGACACAGCGCACCGCCATGTGCTGAAATCAAATCTAACGCCGGGTCGCCTCGTAAAAACAGTCCAGTGTTTTATGTACTCTGTACACAGTCTGGGCTTGCAGGGTAATTCTCACAATCATTGAATAGATCAAATGCAGTGGGCGAGAAATAAATTTCCAAAGGCTATAAAATGTAGCAAGCATGCAGGGGAAATATTACAAAGTAATAAAGTCATGGAGCCTGTGCTATGGTTTTAATTAGACCAAAAAGAAGAATAAAAAAAAAAAAAGCAGTTGGTAGTGGAAAAGGGAAGCTCTGTTTAGGGATGAGCAGTCATGTGGGACCAGGGGATGGGGGTGAAGGGCAGTTCAGGGCTTTGGGAGGATGGAGAAGGGACTGAGCTTGTGCATCCAGGTGTAGGATAATCAGGATCAGGGCTATTGTGTATTTTGTGCGGTTATTAATCCCCTTCCAATGGTTATCCTCATGATACAGATTTGGCAGGTCCTGATGGGAAGCGGGCGAGGACAGCCTACACCCGTTACCAGACGCTGGAGCTGGAGAAAGAATTCCATTTTAATAGGTACCTGACCCGCAGGAGAAGGATTGAGATAGCCCACACCTTGTGCCTGTCCGAGCGCCAGATCAAGATCTGGTTCCAGAATCGAAGGATGAAATGGAAAAAAGATAATAAAATGAAGAGCATGAGCTTGGCCACAGCTGGGAGTGCCTTCCAGCCCTGAGAGTGGACACCATGCCCAGGACTCAGCTCCCAATCCGGGACACCTTTCTTTTTTTGTGTGGCACTTGCTGTGGGGCACCTCTTGGCATGTCGAGTGTATAAGGACGCATTGGTGGCTCCTGCCCAGGATGACACCCCATCTCCTCATCATTTCTAGCTGTGTTCAGTGCTCTCAGTCGCAGTGAAGTCCTATATGTTTGTGACTGTAAAATCCTGCTGCTTTTTATGGACTACATAGCATGTTGATCCGAGCTCTTAAATGTTCTAACTTATTTATAACTGATAATAATGAAAACAGGTGTTGAACAGTTTACAGTTTATTTTTTGTTTTCGGGGGGAAATGTGTTTATCTGTTGCTATTCCTTATGTTCAGGACAGGTGGGGTTATGGGTGCACTAAAACTATCCCCGTCCTGAATTGTGTTATTTCAGTGTCAGGTCTGTGGTTATGCTCGCAAATTGTTTTGCATTCGCTAATTGTTCTCATACTGCAAGGTTAGGCTCATTCTTATGTCATCAGTACGTGTTTTGGGGGAGTGATTGACACGTTTTGTCTATTAGAGGTACCTGTATTGTCTGGCTGCCTGAGGATTTGCCAATCCGTTTTTTTTGTACTTGTATTAACAATAATAATAAAAGAAAAAAAAAGTTTCTGATTGTGAAATCAGTTTCCCATGTATCCCTGTTTCATTTAATCTATTTTAACATTTGTGTAACTTGCTAAAAATCGTGTATCTATGTTACAAAGGTATTTATCAAACCTGGAGGGAAATGAAAGAGACAAAAAGTTTCCAAAAACTTCCTAGACTCTACAGCACTTGTGTCCTGTCCTAGAGTAACTTTTTTTTTTTTTTATAAACATCTAATCAAGATATTCACATCCTAAAAATACAGGCTAAATGATGACTACAGAAACAGAAAACAAAGTGAGAGTTAAACACTTACCACAAAATGTGCACTGTGCTAGGCCTTCTGGAGGACCTACAGGGCAGCCTAACATCCCAGTCCCCATAGCTATTTTAGCAGAGGCAAACTACACCCAAAGTAGGTATGACATTTACATGTCAAATGGGTACGGTTTTATCTAGAAGTTAGATCGTAAAAATGGCCCAGACCTCAGACAGATACCCCTCACTGGCTCTCAAAAGTCACGTGAGCACCATAAACTTAGGTTTATGGTTTTAGGGAGTTGACAATGTACAATATATTTCACATTCTCCACAATGTTAAGTGACAGTTTAACTGGCTTGTGAGGGACGCAGCCAGTGAGTACTCCAGCAGATGAGCTGCTACAGGGAATGTCAGGCAGTGCAGGCTTCCTGCTCTCTGCAGAGGACACAGGTTCTCACACCAAAAGTAAGTTTTTTTTTTCTATGCTTATCCCTCCTACACCCTCACAAATTGACACTTGCATTAAGATTTGAACTCACTGAACATTAGATGGTCGGATTATAATGATACTTATTAGAAACACATCAGCCAAAATGACTGATCACATAAAAAAATAGCATATTTTGGAATAAAAGCAATACGCGGAAATCAATATTTTCATGTATTATTATTAGTACTATATATGTTGTGTTTGGAGATAGCTAATACATTAGTGTATATATTTAAATGCACGTATTACCATTGTTTTCCCAAGTAATAATTAGTCATATGTTCTAGACAAGATTAGAGTAGAAATTTATATTATGACTAGTCACTAGGAAACATAAAGAAACCACTGCTTTTCATGTACAAAGAAACACACTCAAAAAGTTATTTCTGAAATAGGAAGACTTATAAAATAATTTATTACACATCCTGTCTTTTCATTATACCAATATCTATCTATCTATCTATCTATCTATCTATCTATCTATCTATCTATCTATCTAATAAATATATATACATATAGATATAGATAGATATATATATATATAGATCGAGAGTTATATATATATATATTTCCTATCAGGTTTTTGGGAAATCACATTGTATGGGAACGATGAATAACATTAAAAACATGTATCTGATTTTTCTGTCAGCAATACCTGAGTTGCAGAAGGCAGTCATTCTATTTCATAAAGAAATGGTGTTCGTTTGTAGAGACCAGAAAGGTAAAGGTAAAAATATACTTGCTGTAGTGTAAAAGTATATTTAAAAAATTCTGAAAATTCAGCAGGCATATGTAACATCTGTTGTGGGCTTCGGGTCCTGTTCTCAAAGTTCACTCCGCTATGTGTCATGAGAAATGGATTTGTAGGGAATTACAGATGACAAATAATCTGAAAGGGTCGTTTGGAGAGTCAAATTACAGCTGCTGGAGGGGGGAAAAAGAACACTAAACTTGGGACAGGAATTAATCTGCTTTAAAAATGTTTGTAAATGTAATATGTATATAGATACAAAGATACAAAGTGGTACTTAGTATTGCACAAAATCCCCCATGTACATTGGGTCAGGAAGTGATTGCAGCAGTGGTAGGATGGGATGAATTGGGTGGTAGGTGCTGCTCTCCAGGCGGATGAAGTGTTTTGCAGAGTAAACAGGAAAGCGGGGATATGGCTGTGCCGACAGAGAAGGCTTTCATTGCTTTATTACTAATGTCATTTTTTATGGATGATTTAAAATAAAAAATACATATTTTGCAGCCACTTAAGACTACAAAATAGGGCAAAGATGTTTGCTTTATTTTCTAGGAAAGTCTAAGAATATCTGAATGTAAATAACACACCTGGACACACAATCAGACCCAGAAAAAATGATATTTAGATAGATAGATAAATAGATAGATAGATAGATAGATAGATAGATAGATAGAATACAGATTTAACATCTGCCATTCGATCATGTTTCCTGGATCGATACAATGAAATATTTGCTACTTTGCTATTAATTAAACAGGAGCTGTGTTTATTCTCTTTGAAATAAATAGGGTGAACTAGTAAAGATGAAAGTGAGGGCAACGGATATTCGCCCAGGGTTTGCACTGCAGTGATGTATGCTGCGCCAGTTCCCCTGCATGAGAACATCGCAGTGCGTCACTGCCACTGCACCAGATCTTTGCACTTTTCACCTCGCAGCCTGTTGTATCGCTGAACCCTCGTTCACCTTTCCTACATGACTTTGCCTCGGAGAATTAACATTTCTATAATTACCAAAATGTCTTTTTCGACCCCCCCCCCCCCCCCC